GGGAGATGGCCATATGTTGCTTACTCAAATACTATCTTACATAATTTTATTTTAATTTAGTGAGTACATATAAATGTATGCATTTTCTAGGATTTTAAATGTGTTTATAGTTATTTGGTTTTTGATAACATTTTATAATATTTCATAACATTTTTATTTAGTGACGGTATATTTAAAAGGAAACTATTGTTATTTATCCTAGCCCTCAGAGATCCAGTAAACAATCTACTGCATACTGCGCTTAACTGCATTCAAAGTGTGCATTTACTCCAGCTGCAGTATTATTCGCCCAAAACTTTAAGTAAGTAAAATTATAGTAGGTGGAGATTAGAAAATCAAATTATAATTATAATCAAATTACTCAATAAACTGTATTTTAAGTTTTTTTTAACTTTATTTGTGTACAATCTATAGGTACATAATACATGTACAATCAACAGTTTTATTGGGAAAAAAAGGTTAAGTTCTTAATTTCGTCTCACTCGAGTAGTATTTCAAAAGCTTTTGGTCGAAAACGTTTTGGTGAGCTTACGAAAAATTGATTATGAATTATTATTATAATCTCATAGGTCTTAACCACTATTGCACTAAACCACTTATGTCCAATTGTTGATAAATTACTGATCAGCGGGTGAAATGTTTGGAGCTTTTTACTGCTTAAAGTGTTAGTAGAAATAAAACAGTAAACTGGCATACCTTAAAATTGTTTTCATTCATTTTAACACAGTAAGCGACCGAATATTAAACGTCGGATATCAGATTTAAACAGTGTTTAGATTGTCCATTGTTTGATACTTTATTCGAAATAATTGTATTTAACAGTATGTTGTAGTCAATTAGCTACAATATACAAATGTTAATTGCTTTCTCGCATATTGTATGCTTGAACGAGCTTTGAAAAAGTTTAATTGATATATTTTTAACGAGTCAATGGTGCAACTGTTAGAACTTAATTGAAAATTATGATGCAACGTGAAAAAACAATTCAAGTGTACGTCAACGATGAATTTTTTGTCTCCAACACTTATTATTGAAAATAAATTGAACATCGCTCACGAATGGACAGAGGACAAAATAATTCACATCAATATGTAAAGAATTTTGTTTAAATAGTTAGAAAAATATATCATTGCGGTTAAACGGACCGATTCGTCGTACAAAAACTACAGAATATATTGTGATATAACATTTACAATGGATTGCATACTCAACGTGATCGCGTATTTCTATATAACTGACCACAATAAATTATTATTTTCTATGGAAATCTGTCCCTAGAGTTTGACGAAAAAAGGACAAAAGTCGTACGCAAAAGTTTTTGTCGATTTCAAAACTATTTAAACTATAAACTATGTAGGTAAATTGAATGGCGAGTTCATAATTATGTAGGTAATAATATTGGAATTACTTATAATTTTAATCGTGTTTTTTTTTTAAAACAAATTCAGTTCAGTGGTTTAAATATAGACCAAATAAAAAAGATTTGAGGTACCTGACCCTCACGTAATTCGTTTATTCGGAGTATTTAATCGTATAATAAATAGGTATAACTTTTTTTTGGGGGAACATAATATATATACTTATGGTTTGTATCTTTAATAATATTCAAGCATAATTATGTTAATTACGTTCAAACTGAAGTGTTAATCGTACACAATAAAAAAATTAATTAAAAAATATAGTTTTTCGTTTTATTTTTATGTAAGTATATCAATCGTATTGGCAATGCGATACGGCAACGTGACTTTTTTTCTTCCAATTGTATGACGAAAATTGTCAGAAATCTTAATGCCCACTGTAGGTATTCATATTCTGGACTAAACATGGTCTACGGGAAGGCTACAATGTTGTACGTTACAGGTATACGTCAAACCACTTTTGTACATTTATGTGTTACGTCACAATATGAGAGGTTATGTAATGTTCCACTTCCCATCATACTTACCATATTGAAAAATGATTTGTTCTAAACCGACTAAAACATAAACTAAGACATCTTCTCCATCTAATCATCTCTTTTAATAATACAATTATTTTCTACATACAACTGTTTCATCTTGTAATAACTTAAGGAATCCAAATATATGGATCGACTAAAGTTTCAAATTTAAAGTCGTATCAAACTTTCTTCTATTGCTTTTCCGGATGGCCCTCCTAGTCACCTAACATGAAATTGGTTACCCGAACTCTCTTATACGTTTATAAATATATTCTTACATACAATAATTATAATTTAATCCAATTAAGCTGAATTTTTAATATCATTGCCCCCTGGACGACTTCATCTATCATGCCATCGAGTGTTGATTGTAATCTCACACCAAATTTACTCGTTGTTTTTAATTTTACAGATTGTACATTTTCTTACTTGTTTATTTATTTTGAATGAAAAATAAACATTATACCATTAGATAATATTTATTTATCATAAATATGTATTACCTACTTAGGAGTACCACGACACTTAAACTTAAATAATACGTTTACTTGATTTACAACAAAACTTAACTTAAAACTACATTAAATTGATAAATCTTTCTTCTCCTCCTGGAATGATGACGATGAGTGATGATCGTAAAATCAATACATTTATTATTTATTGTCTTATTAACCTATACTGCCTAAGGCATTCAGCTGTATGTAAAAAAGGTGTTAACATTGTGATTCAGTCAAACGTAAAACATGTTACAGCTACAACGTGTTACAGTTAGTAACTACGGCTTTACTAAACTAACTTTACAGAAGTTGCTATTTGGTGTTTTGGTTTAAAATTTAAAAATCATCTCTTAACTAAAATACGTCTTCAGTGAAGGAAACTTGACTTTGTGAGAGGGGAAAGTGATCTCTCCACCTACTTCCCTTGTATTCACCACTACTAAAAAGTATAGGTTTATTAAATATCTTATAATTTCAGAGTTTTTGACTGTGTTTTAGATAGCAGCACAAATTGATAGACTTCTGATTTTAATGACCTAATGACATATTATACGAGTATTATAAAATTATTCTATAATGTATTGAAACTGATATTGAAATACCACGAATATTGGTAATATGTATAAGAATACAAGTGTCAACTAAATTCCACTCTACATTTTTAGAAGATAGTTTTCACTTATTTAACTTTAGAATTCACCAATATAGTTGTACATTTTTAGACTTAGGGTGAAAAAATGTGAAATTTATGGTAGGTTTACTCCAAGATAAGGAAAAAATCTATTTTGTTTTTTTATTTTATAATACTTCATTTAAACACATATAAAACATAAAACTAAAAAAAAAAATGAAAGTTCTAAATAACATTAAAATGTTAGTATTTTCCTACATAAAGTGTGATGTAGCTAAACCTTGTCTCGGAGAGCAGGAAAAAAACTTAGTAATAATTGTCAAGGTTAGAATTTATTATGGCAATGCATTTCAAACAAAAATAATACGGTTTTAATATTGTTTTATTTTGTTCAATGAGCAAAGTTGCAAATAACTTTGTGACAAGTACTAAAGCAGTATGAACTTCCTCTTCTAACACTTTACAGTTGTTTATACCGAAATTTTCAAAGCAAGATAAAGGAAAATATAACTTTTTTTAAGTAGTTTTCAGAAAACGGAACAATATAATATAATAATAATGAAAATACGTTCAGTGTAGTATTGAAACATTTGAATGAGTACCTACCACAAATGCAAAAACATCAACATTCAACAACCGTTGGGTACTTGTTAGAACCGTTTAGAGTGTTACAAATGGATTAAATTATGTACAAAGCAATTTTATCAAGAACTAAACAGAGGTCCAAGACAGTCAAACCTTACATTAACAAACAGTTTATGATATCTTATAATTATAAAATGCATTTCGTTCACTGTTGAATTAAACATATTTTAAGAAAACTGTTTGCACGACCTTTGTTTAATGCAAAGTACAGGTACACATAGAGTTTAATACTAATATTAAATTAATATTAAACTCTTAGTCTGTTTATTTATTTATTCAACACAAATATTAAACATATAAATGAAAGTGATAGTAACGTTGAAAGTAGATATCAAGTTATTTTCATAAAAATAGTTTAAGTCAGGGTCAAAATCTTAGCTATTCTTGGTATAAAAAGTTAAAACATGCATTAGTGCTGTACGTATTCGGCTTTTAACCATTATTAAAACTTTAAATTATACGTATTGCCCATATTTTTCTTTTACGTTAAATTTTACTAAACCATTTAGGAATTTGGCACGAGATCAAGAGTTAACTTGTAAGTTATTGTGAACATGTTTAAATAATAAATCGTGGTACTTAATTCATCATCATAAAATTAGAACTAACTCGCTAAAACTTGACGCAATAAAGCCATGTGTACTGACGCGAAAATAAACGATTATTATATAATGTAAAATGATAATTTTAATAATATATAGGTACATTAGTTCTTTAGTTTGATACATTTTTACTACTATTAATATTTTGTTAGTTTGTGTTAACATAATATCATTATACATAAATATATATATAGATTCAAACGAATATGAATTCTACATTTTAATAGTTAATTTATTGTTTTTATGAACAATGCGTTGTTATATCTTTTATTGTTTTGTTACTACTTACTAGACATGTTTAGTTGTTAAGAAGTTATCGGAATGACAGATTTAATTGTTTAACTATAGGTAACTGAATTTGTAGTTTAAAAATGAATGGACGTAGTATGAAAACTATGTATGTATAGGTTAGGATGACCCTTAAATTTTTTTTTTTCATTTTTGTTGGTCTCATCCACTTAATTTGTGTATATGAATGAAAAAATGAACTACAAAAAGTTTCAAGTCAATTTATTAAGGTTAACCCGTGCCGACTTGAATTTGAAATTTGAGTATATTAATTCATTCATAATTTAATGACATATTTTACATTTTTATACATATCTCAATTGCAATAGGGAAAATTAAAATTTGTTACATAATATGTTTTAAATATAATAAAATTCTCTATAAATTACGTTCTTACATACTTCTTCTTATTTATTATAATTTAAATGATATATTGACTTTTGAGTGTGAAAGTACTATTTTCTTAAAATATTATTATACATTTTTATTAATTAAATTTTTTTTTTCAATGTCTCCTTTTTACAATCAGGATATAGTCTTCTGTGTTCTTGTATACATTGTAATAGCAACCCAGACTTCTTATCATCTTTGGTTAAGGTTCCGTGAAAATCTTCCATAAGTTTAACTGCTCTTTCCGCTGTATCATTTACTACATTTAGCGAGCATGCACTTTCTTTCCCGTGTAAATAACTAATTTGAGTGTCCCATGTGCTCGGATCATCATTCAAAAAGTCCGTATTAATATTAAATCGAGAAAAAAAATTGCATACTGTTCTTTGATATAAAAGAGGCCAGTGTTTTTTCTAAAAAAAAAAAAATACTATAGGTGTATAAGTACTAAGTAGGTATTTAATATTACAATGGTTTAGTTTATTATAAAAAGTATTAATTTACATTTCAATACAAATAACATAAAACAATACGTTCCTAGTGTTCCTACTAAATACTAATTGAAATATGATATGTAGAGAATAATTCTACTATAATCATCGTGATATTTAAGTCTTATAAAAATAAGAACATTTTTAATCATTTTCAAATTTTATTATTTAGGGTATGAAATTAAATAGCATAGATTTGAATCCGAATACGAGATCTCATATCCAAAAAGTTTTATTTTTTAAGTAGGTACTGAAGGCTACAAATTACAACAGAGTAAATAATATTTAATTTTCAATAAAGTTTACTTAGTTATGGAACTTATAATTTCATCTTTCAGTATAATGACATTGCAAAACTATATAATTTCAAAACCAAAATTAAGACATTATTGAATGTTCAATCTAACAAAAAAAATATTAAGAATTCAAATAGGATTTTAAAAAATCGAATATTATATCCATTACGTATTATGTAAATATTGCATCGTAACTGATACCACTTTATTTGGATATGTATTGTCCTTTAAAAATGATGTATTTATTATGTGCAGTTCTACAAACATAATTTAAAATGTAGATAAGCTTAATTAATGGCAGGTAATCTGACGAACTATTCGTGGTCCAAGTTATACGTTTCCTCAGCACGTACGGTTGGGTACATACAAGCCACTTGGTTTTTTAAATAAACAATATTAGCTAAGCACGATAATTGAGAAAAAAGAAAACCAAAATTGAAAAATATATTGTAGTTAATGCAATATAATAGTTTATATTTCAGACGTAAAATTCATTGAAACATGAATATGGGTCAATAATGAAATCTTACCTTACCTATGACAATAAGGGGCTATTTAATCAACTCACCGGGCACAAACTTCTCAAAGTTCGTGTTTGTTTCTTGATAATAAATAAGTTTCATCTTATCGTGTTCACTATTACTTAATAGTTACCCACTGGAAGTATAAAACCCTGCAGTTATAAGGGTATTGACGTATTGTTCAACCTGTAGCAAACAAATTATAGTGCAAAAAAAAAAGTGCAGGAATTACCTCTTTAATAAGACGTACCATATATCGTGTCTAAATGACCGATTCGGAGAGGTACTCTTGGTACTTGAAAAACTGAGTTAGGTGCATATACAAAGAACAGTTCTACCCACATTCAACCAAAAGTATGTATGCAGTTTTAAAAAAATCTGGTAAGAGGGTAACGTTTTGCTGTATATAGAGACCAGAAGGTCATTGTGACGGATGTGTTAATTTTAAATTAAATCGCCATTGAATGAAAACGAAAAATAATTCTGTGCGAAGACGGCCCATCAGCCTATAATATTACTTAATAAATTGTATGGTATTATTGTGATCAAAGTGATTTATTTTATTAATATGCGTTATTATAGTATTACAGTCGGTTGAATACATTTTTGCCAAAAAGTTGCATTTAGAAATGTCATTGTGTATAATATAGTGTATATACTTTAATAATGTCCGACTCTCTGAGTCTCAAGTACCCACGATTTGTATTTTTAAATTTCAGTAAAATAACTAAAAACGTTATTTTCGGTATTAATAATATGTAATCTTGTCCAAATTTGAACTTTAAATGTCTGTAAAAATAACTGTGTTTGTATATTTTTTTTAGATTTTTAGGTTAAAATATAAAACATTTATGATAATTCTTGTTAGTGGCCTAACACGGGCTCATCGAGGATTAGGATTTAGAATATTGCTTTATATCTTTATTACGCATTTAGGTGAAATAATAAATCATAGTATTCGGAAAACGAATCTCTGCGGATTTCAATTTATTTAAATATTTGTTCAAACTTATGAAAAACATTATTCGTAACGTTTAAAAAAAATCATGGTATTCAAATTTGAAAACTTAAAAACAATGTACCTAATTACAAACATTGAGCTTTTAAAAAATATGGCTTGGTTGCCACCATAAGCACATAGTTAATATTACATTTTCTGATTTTAGAAATAACAATTTTAATAATTTATATTATAAACATTGTTAGGTACCTATAATCATAACTTATTTCCATTTGTAAGCTTAAAACTTAAGCTAAAGTGCATGATAAACTTAACTAGATGTCATGACGCACACGAGTTAGAGTTTATCCCATTAGTGATTTTCATACGCTCAACCTCAACGACATCATACCTGAGATGTTTTCATGATTTTGCACTACCGTAACCCCGTGTAAGGAGATTATATTGTTCTAAGGTCTGAGATCTTGGCCTTTAAAAAAAATTCCTCAAGTTTTTATAGAATATCGTTGGATATTTTTGATTCAAATTTCGACATGACTGAATGAGTGTGAGATCAAAGGTGCTGCTAGCAAACGCGTGTGGATGCCCACAACCAAAGTCATTGGAAAATATTTTTCGTTTTTCGCACTTGATGAAAACACGATACGTAAGTAATACACACTGTGTCTTTTCTTTTCAAAGCAGTGAATATTAACAACTATCGGAGGAGGAGACTAACATCAACGTAAAAAAAGCATTAAAAACTAATAATTTAACAAATAAAATCAGCCTGGGAGTTGTAATGTCAACTGCAGTGTAATTCGTTTAATGTATACTACAATGTAAAAAAATCTGATCTCTTAATCTTATTTTAAATGTATCGTTTTTATAAATTGAAATTACAACATCAGCTTCTGCATTTCGAAATTACAATTATCAACGCGAAATGTATACATGGAAATGTTATATTATTCTATTCGTTATTAGAAAATATATACATTTCGGGACAAAATATGGTGTAGAGTGCTGGAATAACTATGCGGTTAATCCTATTATATCAAAAACTTGAATACACCGAACTCACCAATTTCATTACTACCTACGTTTTAGTCTGGTAAAACGGAAGATAATTTCAATCCAGGTTAAGTAAAACAATTATTGATATTACGATGGTTATACCCAAAACACGCTCAGACTTAGAATTATGTATGATAAAGAAGTTTAGATTTTCGTGTTTAAAGTTTATTATAAAAACTCTCTAATTTTGAAACTTTGATTATTTCCTCGTTTAAAACGTTCAAATACACATTTAGTTTTAAATAAGATTGTTTTATTTGATATAATATAGATAATTAGTGCATTTTGTGAGTACTTGTATGTGTTACCGTAAATGACCGATCACTGAGTAGAGCTAGGTTTTACTAGTTAATGTTAGGATTTACTGTTTGTATACTCAGTAAAAGCTGAAAATCATATTTTTTACGGGCTCTTACTACACGGAGTGTACATTCTATGATGTGCAAATTGAGGTAGTAAAAGCTGATTAATAGGTACAGGACAAATCGACAAATAAAAATTACACTGTAAAAAAACCTATGTTTATATATTATTATTGCAAACTAACTATAAATTATTTAAACGACGCTGTCTTGATTAGCCTTGATAGACCCTTGAGCTGTGTATTAATATAATATAATGTTATAATATATTTTTAAAACTAACCATGCTGCCACTGCTTATTTGTATGTTATACCATTCTAGAGCTTACATATTATATAAGATAACTGAAAAAAAGCTTTTTAATTATACTCGCAAAACCCCTCTTCACACAATTTGTGTACACTCCATATAACAATGGCGTATTCAGAATAATTTTAAAAGGAAAGTTTTTATATTTTTAGAAAATACTAGATTTATAAATATACCTAGACACCTATGACCTATATACCTATAACATGGTATATATTATATGCACATTATAAATTATTAGTACTTTTATGCGCTATGAACCTATACCAAACAGCTTGGTTCTGCAGAATCGTTTATACATTATAGAATCGTACATTCATGTTATGTAATTTGAAAATAATAATAATTATAAATTTATTTTACTACTAACGAACTTACAATAGTTATAAGTTTAAGTTATGAAGTTATAATAAGTAAAATTGGATTCAATATTTAAACGTTGTATTATATGATTGAAATGTACCAAAAAAAATTAATTTTCTTATACTAAATACTTTTGTGTTGTAAATCATATTGCTATTAGACTTTTGAATTTATTGGTATACCACTCTATATTTGGGCCGTAGAAGTTTATTGTTCGTTTGATTAAAGTAATAAAGTTTAATTTTTGGACGACAAGTGGTAAATGTAATTTTCGAGTTATATAATTTATATTATTTCAACCTTAGTTTGATGGAACTATGGAAGCAGAATAAATTGGTATTGTCTCTATATAAGTATAGGTATATTTAATATTTAATATATTTTAGAAATCAATATGAAATCGTGAAAGTCGTATTCAAACGGCTTTATTGAGTAAATATTTATATATTCTATATTATAAAATACCCACAAAACATACATTTTTATACTCAAATTATGTAAATATTTTTCGATAAAGAGAATATATTATAGCACTTGCAATTCACATTAATATTTAAGGGTGATGAACACAATGATATGCTTGTCAAGAATCAAAGAACGACAATAAAATAACAAACAACCTTTTATAGGTTTTGTTTGAAATATTGTCGTAACAACTTGACTTGTTGTGAAAAATGATCAAATACTCACTGATTTGATTTTTTAATTACTTGTATCTACGCATAATGCATTTATGGTATTACTAAATTAATTCATTATTAAATACCTTTCATTGGTTTAAAACGTTGAACTGTTAATATGCATTTACTTTTTTGTTAAAACCAAAGAGGATGTGAGTTTTTTCATTGTGTTTGTGTCTCGCCACTAATACAAAATAAAAATTACTATCATAAATAATTTACTACCTATTGACAAATTACCTGTTGGTATCCAAACAGGCTACATAAATACTAATTTAATAAAAAAAAACTTTACAATTTAAGAATTAATGTCTTTGATACAATATACACGAAACAATTAGCATACACAAACATTGTTATATGGAAGATGCGACAGCTGAAACAACTGCATTGATTCTTCAACGCATAAATACGCATAATATACCATTTGGTCTAATATTATGCGAGTCTTATGCGATTCATCTTATGGCCACTAATCACAATTGCAAACAACTATCTGTCAATTACCCTTCAATCTAAAAACGGTTTTTGTTTCATTGTAGTATTGAGTACGAATTATTATGAGTTTTGGAAAATACGTATTAATTGCAGATGATAATCGTTTTTAATTTACACTTAAATATTATATCATACATAATACATATTATATTCACCGTCTAACTGTGATCTGCCCATTATAAGCATACAAATGTGGTGAGATAGAATGACTCAGTTTATGTAGAGTATACTGACTTTCTGTGATTTTAGGGGTTCCATAGTTTCAAAATATACGAACATCATAAAAATGCCTGTCCATTTAGCTTTGTTTCTGATAAATAATTCAATAATAATTTGTCAATCACAAATGGACATTATAGAACGAATCGTTATATAATACACTTTTCAAAATGTTAAAATGTCAAAAAAGTAATAATTAATAGATTAACGATATAGGTATACCTATAAATACTGAATAATAAATGCATTCGATTATATTATTATTTTTACATTTATATTATTATCCATTAAGGCTTCAACAATGACGATTTATTTTTTATACTTATAATTTAATTACATTTTTTTTTTTTAGTTTTTAAGAGTTATGTGATAATTGTCACGATAATACTTCAATCTCAGAAAAGTTAAGTATAATTTTAATGAAATAAAATGTAATGCTGAACACAATAATGATTTTTTTTTATTCATCTTAATTAAAATTGTTAAAAATAGTACGAGTGGTAGTCACTTAACACCCGCACACATTGCAGGTGAAGTTTAGTGTAAGAGATATTAAATTAAAATGAGTGATTCAACAAAAATATTTTTATTTATTTGGTTTTAAAAGTTTATAATCATATAATATACAATTTTATAGAACACTATTTACACATATTTATTAGTAAATAATGAAAAAACTAAGAAATTAAAATCGTCTAAAAAAATGTAATAACAGTTATAGCTTACGTTCAATAAGAATATTTATTATTCAAAGTATAAACTGGCTAAATGTATGGATGTTTTAAAGTTCTAGCCATTATGAATGAATCTAAAAAACGAACATTTAACTATTTAGAAAGAAAACAGATTTAACGAGTATTAAAAATTAAAATGTATAATAGCGGTACCTAATAAAATGAAATTATATTTTTAAGAACTATCGAGTAAGATACATTTACTATCAAAACACATAGAAAACACGTATAAGAACATAACAATATATTACATTAAATAGCTAAAAATAAAATAAAATTGTTTAGTTATATACTATACACAGTGGTAAAAATGTATATACATATTTATTTGTGTATTATTTCATTTAAGTTAAATTAATAAACAAAATAAAATACCTGAATAAATAAAATAATACACAATATATATATCTACATAATAAAACAGCTATTAAATTAATTGAACTCTAATAATTGATATTTATTTTAGACTAAACCACTGATAATGAGTGGAATGAATACCAAAATATTCTGTGATTATGCTCTATAAACAGTGCGTCGACATTGACATCGATGAAGTTATCCCAAAAACCAACTGTAAATCCGGGAAAAAATAAAATTAATAGTACAAAATAATGCCGCAACCACACATCACAGAGATGGTATCAAACCTTGATTTGGGGCCTAAATATTATTTTCAAAAAAATGATTTACCTAATGTCAATACTAAGATTATAGCCGGCGTTTTGATTAAGAAATAAGTATTCTACTAGATTTGCTTTCAACAATATTGTTTTGAATATTTTTATAGATGTCATTCTAATATTATTTTTTTCCCCATAATTATAAAGTGAAGTGTGATTCATATAACAATATTTCATGGATGGAACTTTTTTTTTTATAGATTTACAGAGCACCTGTATAGTCTTACTTGGACAGACGTTTTTCATCTACTTTTCCAATATAACAATTTGAAAGATTGGAAAATGTAGATTTTTTTTCTATTTTGGAGAAAACACGCGAACAACAAGTATAAATAAAATAATTCTGTTGTAGGTAATATAGATAAGTACTCTACAGTCTTAATGCAGCTGCAAAATATGAACGAATTATTATAGCTATTAATATAGCTTTATAATATAAATTAAAAACAAAATTGTTAAATTGTAAAAAAAATACCGCTGTCAACAAATAAACAGTTAGGTATA